AAGTATTTCAGAGTATGTGTTAGTGTGTCCCTAGTCGACTCGCCCCTCTAAAATGTTTAGAGGGACGAGTCGACTAGGGACACACTAACACACACTCTGAAATAGTGTGTGTGTGTCTAACTCCTCTAAACATTTTAGAGGAGTTAGTACTGGCGCGAGTCCAGTTAGATCTTCCGCGCAAAAGTTCACAGGAGTTACAATGATGGTTAGTCTTGACTCCAATATTTCAGAGGAGTGAGAGTGTTGGTGCGGGTGGCGTCGGGTCGTCAGTCACTGGGTGATGCACCACCGTCCTCGCCTTCCACCGTCCGCCCACCCACCTTATGAGACAGAGCTATGATTTACGGCCGCCTTCAAGTATCACGGATCCCCGCCAGAATTGTTTATGTATTTGCAGAAGCTGTAGAAGGCAATTCTGGCTCTTCACACATAAGTTGGTCGTACCTGTTGAGAGAGAGAGAGAAAGAGAGAGAGAGAGAGAGAGAGAGAGAGAGAGAGAGAGAGAGAGAGAGAGAGAGAGAGAGAGAGAGAGAGAGAGAGAGAGAGAGAGAGAGAGAGAGAGAGAGAGAGAGAGAGAGAGAGAGAGAGTGTTAAAAGAATGTTGTCATTGATTTCACTTGGAGGGAGCGCATTTACTTTCAGTATAAGTACTTTGGTTAAACAATACCGACTATGTTGAATACGGCCCTTGGCATTGAAAACACAATTTTTCATATAAAGAGCAGACACGACTAAATTTTAATGGATCTTTTTGTATGGTTTCTTCATAAATATTTATTCCTAAGTGAAGTACTTGTGTGTACAACAATAAAACAAAGTTGTCCACTTATATAATCTTGAGCAGTGACGACGGGCAAGAATCTTGAGTGAGAGAGAATGTGTCAGGAGAAAGCACAAGGTGACATCTGCTCGTCGTGTTGGCTGGGAAGTGGGAAATATTAGAGCTTGGTGTTGTATTCTTGCAACAACAACAATAGACCTACACACAACAGCTGGAAGAACTATATCCATGAATTTTATTACTGCATTTTTTTATTATTCGGTAGCAACGAGTCATTTGTTGGGTGTAAGAGGGCGCATGCTGAATGAAAAACTTCATCTGTTCAATATTTATTTGGAATCTGAACAAAATGAACTTCGTCTCTCAATAAAAACATAATGCAATATTTCACATAATAGTATATATTTATATTTATATATATATATACCCACCCATAACTTCTCAAAAAATATGAAATAATTAACATAAATAAAAATCTTAAGACTACCAAAAAAGCACCATTGTTTGGTATATGTGTATATATATATATAGAATTTATCATATCCCTTTATAATAAGTTAAAAAAAAAACGATATTATTTAATGGTCATTCCCCAAACAAAGTGACCAATTACATCTGTGATAGCCGTATTAATTTACAATTTTCTATGAAAATAACTGTATAAACAACAACATTGATTGTAACAACTTTTACAAAATATCAAAATTACAAGCAGAAGCATTAGCATCACGTCTCGTAAGGCTTCGTATTAGATTTGACTCTGAAAACAGTTCACGTGTGGAGAATCGACACTGGTTTTGGTGAGAATGAAGTGACACAATATTACAGGTCATTGCGGAGCAAAGTACACAGGCCCACTGCACCTTACAGTCTGCCTGACACAAGTTGACTATTTCCCCATTTCACACCGCAATCACTGGCTCAGATTTGGAGTTGGGATTAAAGGAATAATTGTATTTTCGAATATATATTTTTTTTACTATTCCAGAGCAGACAACCAATTATGTGGAAGATGATCAACACAAAACACGTGACTTGATATTCCTAAGATTGTTTTGACCGTATTGTTAATGACCCGAGCGTACTGGGACTGATTTAGCAACACTAGGATTGACCTGACAGTACTAGGATTGATCTGACCGTACTGGGGCTAATTTGACCATTCTGCGATTGACCTGACAATATTGCGATTGAATTGACCGCCCTGACCGAACATGTACTGGGACTGCCCTGCCTGTACTAGTTCTAGTACCTGACCGTTCTAAGATTTATTGAGTGTATTAGTATTGACCTGACTGTAATGGGAGCGACATGACCGTACCGGGATTAAACTTAACGCACAAGAAACATCTTGGTAATGAGACAGAGCATAAGTGTATAAAATACGTGAATTATTTGTCTTCCTAAAGCGAGGAGTACAAGTGTGGGTGGTGACCAGCCACGCCACTTCTCCTCCGCCCAGGTGGACGCACTCGCAACCAACGTCCAGAGTGCAATATCCACCACACACACTCGAACTGAGCCACACACACACAATTCCCTGTCCGGGCCAGCTATCTCTTGGACAACGAGGTTTATTTCATTTCAATTTAGTATTATATATATATATATTATATATATATATATATATATATATATATATATATATATATATATATATGCAAACAAGCCTGAATGGTCCCCAGGACTATATACAACTGAAAACTCACACCCCAGAAGTGACTCGAACCCATACTCCCACAACTGGTATGTACAGGGACGCCTTAATCCGCTTGACCATCACGACCGGACTAAGGAAGTGATAGCCGAGGCTATATGAACCACTTCCCCGCCGGCACTCGGATGGTAATCTTGGGCATAGCATTTTATCAAATCACCTCATTCTTTGGGGCACACGTGAGGAACACAAAATATACGCACCCCATTTGTGTTCCTCACGTGTGCCCCAAAGAATGAGGTGATTTGATAAAATGCTATGCCCAAGATTACCATCCGAGTGCCGGCGGGGAAGTGGTTCATATAGCCTCGGCTATCACTTCCTTATGTCCGGTCGTGATGGTCAAGCGGATTAAGGCGTCCCTGTACATACCAGTTGTGGGAGTATGGGTTCGAGTCACTTCTGGGGTGTGAGTTTTCAGTTATATATATATATATATATATATATATATATATATATATATATATATATATATATATATAATGTATGTTTGTGTGTGTGTGTGTAAATCACGAAAATTAACACGTGATGAAAAATGTGACAGTGTCAGACCATGAATTTTCAATTTCTTTCGTTATTACGCACCCCATACCCATCCCGTGGTGGAAGGATTGCAACAGGAGCTTCCTTCGAATTTCCTGTTTCAATTCTTCCTTCGTGGTCTGACACTGTCTGACCATAGTATATATATATATATATATATATATATATATATATATATATATATATATATATATATATATATATATATATATATATATATATATATATATATATATATATATATATACACATATATATTGGTATAATTTTTTGTATTGTTTGGTTATTTAGTTGCCCTTACGAATTCTTCAATTCCAGTACAGTATTGAGAAATATATTTTGACCATTTGGTTTAATGGTTATTTGAAATATTGTTTTGTGTAACCTGCCAAATTTCTACTGATCGGGAATTACAATTAATAATGACAAAATTTATATAGAGGTGATTTGTGACGTAACTAGGACCAGGATCATATTTCTTAATTTTAATGTCACCAGTTTTGAAGACTATATAGTTCTTTGATATTTTATAATTTACGTGAATGACACAAGGGCAGCTGCGAAAGAATACGAATTTCACTTAGCATAGCTGGGTTTCGGATCACAGGGTGTTGACAAGAACCTGGTTGGCACCATTGGGTGCCAAAATTATTCTAATGTGTTTACAGAGGCCTAGCTGGCAGCAGTGTGTGCCAAAATGATTCTGATGTGTTTACAATGGCCTGATTGGCCCCAGTGAGTGCCGCCTGGCTCTAGTGTGTCCGGAGAATACTGACCATCTGGCCTCTCATCACACTGATGGGCTGAGTGCTTCATTACCCACAAAAATACTTTTCCAGATTTGTTTTTGGCCTAGAGCCCTACACCGCGTTCATTTAAGCTTAAAGGGGTAATTTTTTGTCCCATTTGCATAGCAATATTGAGTCTTATGGAACACCGTCTGTTAAGATTCAACTCTGTTTATTCACTCTTTTAGACAATAATTCACAATAAAGTCTCTGAAAAATAAACACCCCAACCCACAGATCTGAAAATAAAGGAATTGACGACGCTTAAGATCCTGGACCATTATCAAGTGATTACACGACTTGATAATGGTATTGGACAGGCCGAAACGTCGTGTAATTTCATCATTTTCAGACCTGTGAGAAGAGTATTTATTCTTCAGTTACTCTTGTCTCTCAGGTCCCATTTCTGAACAGTTAAAAGAGAACCAAGAGCGTGGAGAAAAACAACTGAGGAATTCCTTTTTGTACCGAAACAAAAGGATAATAGGGAAAGGGTGTCATAGGGGAGAGAGAGAGCTGTGAATTTTCCGTCTCAGGCCGAAATGACTGACTGCCGCATCTGATATGCTTACAGAAACTACAATGTCGCACGCAACCAGTCATTCTGTTGACGTATCAATGTTGCACTGGTAATGATCTTATGTTTCAGTAGGCCGCAATATAAATTTGCATTCATGGAATACAAATATAATAAACAATATTATATAGATTTACTGATATATTCAAGTCATATTTGCCTAACTCCTGTCTAAACATTGTGTGACAATTTTAAATTAAATAACTACACCCATTTCTGGAAAAAAATATAGGATTAGGATTAAACAGAAGGATGGCAGTACCTTATGGTAGTTGGTGATGGTGACGGTGCGAGGCCAGTGAGCTACGGTGCCCTGAGGTACACACACACACACGGCACATGACCTGCAGTGACCCCTAGGCGTGGGACCACCACAACACTCCCACAGTGGAGCAGTGTCGTGGAGGGGTTCCACATGTTTAAAGTTCCAGGAAGAACCACCTGTGAAAGTCTTATTGCAAGGACACTACGACTTAAATAAGACGCGTGTTTTACACGTACGTGTATATATATATATATATATATATATATATATATATATATATATATATATATATATATATATATATATATATATATATATATATATATATATATTATATAATATAAACGTATATATATATATATATATGATGAACACTTTTATTAATATATGTATATAATGAACACTTATTGCATTCATGGAATACAAATACAATAAACAATATTATTTAGATTTGCTGATATAATCATGTGATATTTCAACACAATGACTGGTTGCAGTGTTCTGATTGCTGACAATGGTGTAAAATTAAACATGGTAAATGTGGCATTGATCAGAGGACATGATATATACAACGACTCAGCCAAGACGTGTGTTTCTGGACTCTGCCCAAGACTAATCCACTACTTGATGAAGACTAGGTAACGTTGGGAGCGAGGAAGTATTGACTAGAAAATAACGATAAATATAAAGGATGGAACTGGTACCAGTGAATGCTACGCACTAGAAACAACCGTTGCCCCAGCAGCCACACCACGGCAGGTCTATTGCCGGCTCCTTCTTTTTGGTGGTGTTGGTGCTGCTCTTACTGTTGGCACTGACGGAGCTCTTCTCGGAGTCTCTTCGAGCCCCGGCGCCCAGGGGCGTGATGTCACTCACATCGTCATTGATTGTATTCTCACTAATGCTTTCCATTTTGTTCAGTTTTTTCTTTTCTTTCTCGGCGGCTAGTTTCTGTTTACCTGCGTCGTACGACATGCTGCGACCTATTTTTAGTCTGTTTCTGATGGAGGCGGCACAGCGCTGGCTGGCAGGGAGCAGCGCCTCCTGCTCTGACCCAGAGGCTTTGCGCAGGATGCCGTTGGCGAGAGGCATAGGGCCGGAGGAGGAGGCCACCACGTGGGAGTGATACTGCGGCGTCAAGAGCGCACGGGATGCCGTCGGCACCTCCCGCGGCTGCTCCTCGAACACCACAGAGTTGGGACGTGGGCGTGGCGACTCGGGTGGGCGGCAATCCATGCCGAGGCGCGAAAGTCTCCTGGAAATGATCGGAGAATTGCCCCCGGTACCCGCCGTGGTGGAGGGCGGGTCCGGGCCTCGAGTACCCCGGTACAACGACCCCGCCCGCAGCACATGCCCAGCAGCCATCGGCGTGGATGGCGTGCCAGTACTGACCACCAGGCCGCCCCCACTCTGGCATGGACCAACCGGGTCCCGCGGATTCACGTTGTCGCGTACGCGGGGTATCGCAGTTGCCGCCGCTGGTCTTTCCGGCAGCTTCAGGTTTACTATACACCTGCTGGAAAAAGTCTTAGACGCCTTAGTGGTCATTCGAGAATCATTTTGTGCGCCGGCCTCTACGCGGACCACCCCGTCCCGCCCCTCTATACGCTCACAGGACTTATCACTCGAGGATGGTTCAGAACACTGACCTGAGTCCGGGGAGACCGGGGTGGTGAGGTCTGTGTGGGAGGGATCGGTGGCTTGCGGGCCGTGGGCCGAGTGGGGCGGGGGTGGAGGCGCGGGAGACAACTTGGCGCCTCCCCACTCCGGCACGTGCAGCTGCGCGGGGGCATCGCGCCCGTGCACCGTCAGCACGATGCGACACCCCCCAACAGTCACGTACTTGGGCAGCTTCACGTGCTTCTTGAGCTTCATCCGCACGAACCGCTCGCCTGTGTCCACGCCTTTGTAGAACCGCCGCTCGAGCTCGCCAATGATCGTGCCGAAGGCCGAAAGGAGGATGACGAGGGTGGCGTCGGCGATGTAGTGAGGGACGCCCGTGAGCGCTAGGACGATGGACTCACGAGTGATGTCAATGAGTGGTACCTTGCCTCCACGGACGGTGAGGCCGTGGTTCAGCAGCTGCTGGAGGGCGTCGCGACGTCCCAGGCTGATGTAAGCTGCGCGACCTACCACGCGCACACCGCGGATGGAGTGCAACGTTCCTTCCGCCTGCTGTTCAAGCTCGTCTATTATTTCTTGTGTGGTAATGTCCCACAGCTGAGGCATTTCAGCCACGGACACCATCAGAGTATTGGGTTCTATGCTATTGAGACGCACCAGAGAGGCCCGCGGGTTGAAGACGGACACGAGAGGCAGCCCAGCATCCAGCGAGGAAGATGTGCCAATGTTGCAGGCACTGCTGGAGGAGTAGAGGGGGCCGGCGGGGCTGCTAGGGGGCCGAGTGACACTGGCAGCAGAGTTGAGGCCAGTGCCTAGAGACTGACTCCGACTGCCATTCAAAGGACCGGAGAAGAAATAGGAAGATCGTGTGTAGTTAACTGTCGTAGTGTGTGTCACTTCCGGGGACTCGCTCACGGGCACTGGGTTCGTGGCACCGTCCTTACACAAAGACAGTTGCTTCACCTCCTTCACCAGAGCCCCGCTACTGGCACTCCCCTTCAGTTTCTCGATGACAGTTGCTGAGCGCCGCCTGACGGTGGAGTAGGAAGGGTCAGGGATCACCTTGTCCCTGGAGGGAGAGGGCGGTCGCTCCTCCTCGGGCGGTAGAGCCATCGCCAGCGGCTCTGCGAGGTGCTTCCGCCTATCGTAGTGAAATGAGGAAGCGAAATCAAGAAGTTGATCGAGATTGAAATGGTCAGTTTGAGATAAATAGGTTTCAGTAGTTATGGGCTGAAGGGGGTCTGGGGGCGACGCACCCCCCTCCCCGACATCGCCGAAAGCAGGTGTGTCGTCGGGGAGGCACACCCGCACCGACCCCGGCTGGGCCAGGCCGTCTACTGGGGCGGCACACGCGGCTCCGGCTGGCACTCCCGCACACTGAGCCTGGCTGCAGCCCCCCGCCAGCCCACTCTCCATGGTCGCCGCCTGACGCATGGTATATTCTACACTCCGCATTTTGCCACTATACACTTTTTGTAAATTTTCTAAATTATCTGTTTCTACGTTCGCTTCTTCATCGTCCTCGTCCTCCCCTTCCTCCTCGTTAATTTTGCCCCGGCAGAGCCTCTGCTCCAGCTCGTCCTCCTCATCGTCATCGTCATCATCGTCGTCGTCATCACTATCGCCGTCCATATTTTTCACAAAGTTCTCGAGTTTGTCGTACTCGTCGCGCAGCGTCCACACCTGCTGCTTCAGAGTTTCGTTTTCTCTCTTGAGCTTGCGTAGATCTGACTGACCGCGGTCCACCTCGGCGTTGATCTCTATAGTACGCATGCGCAGCTCTTCGTTTTCGAACATAACCCCGCGGCTAGACCGCTTATCTAGCTTGCGGGAAGGCTTAAGGTTGCCTTCCTTTTTTTTCGATCGCATCATGGTGGAAGGTGCGCGACTGGCGGAGATGAGGTAGCGCGCGCTCACCTGCACCACGCGGAGACAACCCCGCACATAGCGGCCAGAGGCGCGCCCCCCGCCGTTAGGGGGGCCACGCCCCCCCCGTCGGGACGTCCCCAATCCTAGTCACTTGGAACCGCAGGTACTTCTGCTTGAGGACGCAGACGAGGTCAAGGCGCCGCCGCCGCCCCCACCAGCCCGCGGAGTCGACCGCATTGTCAGAGGCCGGGAGGGGCGGCGCCGTGCGGGAGGTAGCAGCAGCAGGGGGCAGGCGAGGTCGCGCACCACCTGCCGCTCACCATCACGGCACCATCATGCCCTCACCACGCGGCCACCAACACCTCCACGCCACCCTCGCCGCCGTCCCTCACATGCGTCCTCACCGAGGACACAATCCTCAACACTGAAATATAGACAGAAAGCCACACAAATGAATATAATTACAGCAAGGAGGATACAAATCGCTTGTCCTAGCCGGGAGAGTGTCTTAAAAGAGCAGCCAGTCTAACAATAACAGTTTTAGCCATCTCGGATGTGTGAGTGTTTCCATATTTAACAATATAAAATTAGATTTACATTGAGTTCTCATTCATTTAAATTGTGTGACAATTAAGGTTAAAAAAGGTCAGCTACGTGTAAGGAGAAAATTTATTACGCTTCAAAAATCAAGCGGGACAACAAACTACACTGAAAATCAATTGAACACAGGAACCGGAGCAGCTCACACAGCTCGGGACTTAAGAGTATTGGCGTCCCAAGCACCTCTTGTGATCCTAAGGACGCCAATAACCCCGACGGCGCCTCTCTCTACAGTCACTCATACGAGAACATTACTTTGACCAAACTGCGCCTCGGCAGAATCTTGCAAACACGTGAAACACAGGGGGAGACAAATGTAATGGAAAGGAAAATGGTCAACAAACTGCTTTGTTTACATCATTGACGAAAGTTCACGGTGTCTGTTCCATATCCTTAACATCTCCATTATATGTATAATTCTGACTTTTATTATTATACAGCATTCAAAAACTAAAAACATGTCAAGTCGGTAGGCTCCCAGACATTAGTTCCATTACTCCCATTATCCCTCCCTGTCCAGCAGGGGGTAATAATCCTGTATTTACCTCGCGCCAAAACTAGTACTCTCAACGCTATTTTCCTCAAACAGAAAAAGTTGGACGTATGAACTAAATAAAAGGACTGTTTTATATATTACTTCGCGTCGCTTAACATTGTTTAAATTAAAATGCAGTTCAGCGTTTGTTGCTTTGGTTTGCTGTTGAATTTCAGACCTACCAACCGCGGGAGGGTTATTCCAGCCACCACAATAGCCTCCTGACCAACCAGCAAGTTCACGTGGCACCTAAACTTTTGTTCAGAACTAAAGTAAACTATCGGTGAAAATACATCGAGAAGCAGAGTCAACCTTTTGGTGCATATATCCCTTGCTGCGAGGTAAACTTCTCTGTATATATATATATATATATATATATATATATATATATATATATATATATATATATATATATATATATATATATATATATATATATTTCTGCGAGGTAAACCTCACGGTGCATACATCCCCTTGATAGTTTCCTAAGAAACAACCAGTACATTGTCTCTATCCTTCACCAACCTATCCCATAGCAGCTATTTGGTCGACCGTACAAAGAAGGACTGTTGTAGCCATCAATGTTTACGTTCTGTACATTTAATTTTGTAGAGGGGAATGGAAAAAGGTAAAACAAAAAAAATACCTAAACATTCCTAGGCATAGTATAGCACACACATTTTAGGGCCTAAGGATTGTTTATTTTCGCCCTGGACACGTTAGATTAAGTTCTTTGGTTACTTTTCCATTTTTTAATGTGCCATTTGGGCTGATTGCATATAAAACGTAAATTTTTGGGGCCCAACAGTCTATTTGGGTTACTAAAAGAGGCAAATATAATTTTGTTTTTAGTTTGAGAGTCTATGAGACTCAGCAACCTCGGGGAATGATGCCACATCAACTACCAGGAATGATGTCATTCTCCGACCTTCACACACTAAGCGGAGAACCACTCACTGTGTTAATGGTAATCAGGTACAAACCTCATTATTACTGGCAATCTTCTTATTCACTTTCCTTTTCATCATAATTTCTTATCTTAGTAATCGGTTATCGGCTTGTAAATCTATTGTTATTTTAGTTAACGTTCCCGCTCAAAATGATTCGTTACGATATTAATCATTAGTGACTATCATCATAAATAGACTGGCCGCCCTGATAACCATCTTAATAATTGGTTTAATTCTGGATAAATACTTAGTGTCGCATAATTTAAAATTATCACGCAAAAATTGAGTCCTAATTCCCTTGGATAATAATTAATCGACTGTTTTCTCCGTCATCAGCTGCTGCGGTCCGGATGGTCATTTACTCTCTAGACAATCGGTGCTATGGTAGTAACGGTTGTTGTCCATGATAGTGGCACTGGGTTACCATGGTAGTGATACGAGGTTATCATGGAAATAATAGTTTTTAACTTGGTAGTGACAATCGGGTTACTATGGCAGTGGCACTTATAGCTGTAGCGACAGTCAGTTCTCGCGGCAGCGACAGTCAGCTGCAGCGGCAACGACAGTCAGCTACAGCGGCAGCGACAGTCAGCTACAGCGGCAGCGACATTCAGCGGCAGCGGCAATATGTTGCCGACCACGTCAACATTGACCGGCTAACGCCTAACAATCAATTACCGTCCCGGACGCCTTGGTACCACCATAACAATGTACCAATCACTGGGACGATGAACCAAAGGGAAGGTGCTGAGAGGAGGAGTGGGGGGTGGTGTCTCTACACTGAAGGGGGAAGGGGGGGGGGAGGGGAAATCAGAACAGAATCAGTCTTACCTTTGGGTTCTTGCCGAGGTCTCCAGCACTCAAGTGCTCCAAGAGGAGCCCCTCTTCCCCTGGATCACCCACCACCCGCACGCACCGTTCTTCTTCACTGTCTCTTATTCTGCTCTTCCTTCTTCCTTTCTTCTTGTTCTCCTCCTCCTCCTTGTTCTTCTTAACCTTGGAACATCTCACCACGATCTCTGTTCTCTATTCCCTTCACTTTACCATTGTTCTTGTCTAGTATTTTGGAAAGGATTTAATTTTGGCTCTATCGTCCTGTTTTTTAGGCCATATCACTGTAAAAAATATATAGGCTTATCTGGAAAGGAAAGTAACGTGCTGGTGAGGCAGTCTGAATGTCTCGTTAGCAACGTCTCGTCAACATGTATGGCTATAATGCTATGTTAACAAGTTGGGCCGTACTGCTACAGCAACATGTTTGAAACAATGCAACATCAACACATTGCAAATATATCACTTCAAAACCTTTGGAAATCCATCTGAATTAACACGCACACTCACACACGCACTCACACACACACACACACACACACGCACACACACACACACAAACACGTACAAACTGATAAGTTACTGTAAGGTTTTCATTTATAGCGAATCAGCACCATATAAATATAGACAAATACTAAATATTGTTGTTGTAATTTAAGTTCCTATTATGCATAGGTATCTGTGTTTGCTGAAATATTAGATCTATTTGCCAATATTTCAGCTATATTAAGTCTAAGCTCTTACGACACTTTAAACCAGGATTTTCTTTTCTTTTTTTCAATTTGTCCAAGTGAAATATTTTTCAATTTCTTTGTCTCTATCTCGTATCACTGCTTGTTACATTCTGCCTGTTTTCTTCACACGTTTTTGAATATAAATTTTAACTGTTTTTTTTTCAAATTGGCAGTGAATCTCCACTCGATTATGTATTTTTTCTGATTTTTTTTAAATCACAATTAAAAACTTTACCAAAGAATCCTTTATAAATAGTCTCATTTTCAGAAACATCTAGTAATGTATTTTTATTTTCAAGACGCACCAAGAATTACACTTTTTTTTTCCAAAGACATATTTACATTCTATTACAATTGATAAAATAAATGCCTTAAAAACAGTCTTTCATCCCTGACCAATAATATTGAAGACACCGGGCTCTTCCATGTCTGATCACATGGCACGTTAAAACTCACTCCCATATCCGGACAGCGTTATGTCTGACTAGACAAATTAGAACATCTTATTCCCCGTGTCCTTCCCAGGTATCTGCTCCAAGGACACCCTTAGGACACCCTGTGTTAAACTGTCCACTGTACGACACTACATAAAGATCTGCATTGTGTACAAAACGGTGACAAACTTTTCATTGTGCATAACACTGCATATAATTCTTCGTTGAATACAAAACTGCGCTAATCCGTGTACAATGTCCAATATGCACAAAACTGTGTATGTTGTCCACTGTGCACAAAACTCTTTTAAACTATACAATGTGTATAAAATTGGGTGTAGCTGTCCACAGCAAATATCCACAATGTAACAACAACTGTAAACAAATTTACACGTTGAGAGTAAAATTTACAAGAAAAATTTACGTTACCATGGTCCAGTACAACATATTCTTGCTTTTGTTCATAAAAATTCATAACTCTATGTATTTTCTACGCTATACTACGACACATGCAAATTTGTACCACCATACCAGGGACGGGAGTTGAAACCCCTCCCTCAGGTTCAGCCATGTAGCTTCCAAGCACGGGCCACCAGAGAGGTTAACGAAAATATTTCGTTAATTCGCGTTACGTGTCTCTCGTTGGTCCTCGGCGTTGCCTCCATGGGTGAGCGTCTTTTCTCTCACATGACCCCGCGGGAGTGCTGAGGGAGGCGTACGGGTGGGCTAGATTGGTTCGAGGTTAGGGAGGCGGTATGTGGGGGAAGGGATAGGGTTAGGGAGGGGATAGGGTGAGGTTGGGATGGGATGGGGGAGGCTGAGGTATGGGACGGAGAGGGGGAGGGTGCACTACATGTCACCTGACGGTCGGAAAGCTCTTACAGGCAAATGCATTTAGTCATGACTTTCTTTTTTCAAACACGACTCTTGACACAATAATATATGGGGTACCACTGTTACGACCGGAGATGTACCACTACTACGACCGGTGGGGTACCACTGTTACGACCGGATGAATACTACTGTTACGACCGGATGAATACCACTGTTACGACCGGGTGAATACCACTGCTACGACCGGATGAATACCACTGCTACGACCGGATGAATACCACTGCTACGACCGGATGAATATCACTGCTACGACCGATGAATACCACTGCTACGACCGGATGAGTACCACTGCTACGACCGGATGAATACCACTGCTACGACCGGATGAATACCACTGTTACGACCGGATGAATACCACTGTTACGACCGGATGAATACCACTGCTACGACCGGATGAATACCACTGCTACGACCGGAAGCAAGTGCACAAACAAACGTATCCATCCGAGCGCTCACTCATGTACACAAATGTGCCCTGTGCAGCCGAGCGATAGGCGCTCAATGGTATCCAAATGTTCACTGGCTGTAGCCATAAAAATTTAAATTTTATTTCAGATTTTGTGCTATAGTATACAACGTTTGAGAGAGAGAATTGCTTGATGTATATTGCGATGTACGTTGCGGGTGTGTGTACTCACCTAGTTGTGCTTGCGGGGGGTTGAGCTCTGGCTCTTTGGTCCCGCCTCTCAACTGTCAATCAACTGAGTGTGTGTGCGCGCGCGTACCAGTGAAATCGTCAAGCAATCATATGGAGGCTCTATTGCACAATAACAGAGCCTTCGGTAACACACTAACAATTTGCATGTGCCTCAATCTATTACTAACACAAAACGTAGCACTTAAAATATGAATAATTCCAAATGAAAACATATAATAAGCTCATCAAATAAATGAGTCCCAAGGGTCAAAGTTAGCTTCAGCTAACTCGATGACAAAAATATCACCTTTTTTCTTGTAGTTTCATTATGAAAATCAGTACTCACCTAATTGTGCTTGCGGGGGTTTGAGCTTTGGCTCTTTGGTCCCGCGCAGTTCAGTGTCATTCCCAATGAGCCTTAGTTCAAACCAGCTTTCAATTACATCAAATAAGGAGCCCAAAAAGCTTTACACTAAGACGAGACTGGAGGGCCGGCGCCGCGGGTGGCAGGCGCACAGACACACAGGATAAACACAACCATAGAGAGAGACGCGCGACAGGAAAACAGTGGACACTTTTGCAGGAGAAGGAGGCAGTAAAACATTCATGTCCACCCGTGAATATTGGGCTTCTGGCTAGGAAAGGGAAGCGGGGGATAGGCGAGCCACGCGAAGGAACACGAGGAGAGGCAACGAAAGGTGAGAAAAGGAGAGACGAGGCGAACGGAGGCTTGACATACGAGGGGGAAGCGGAGCACACCAGGTTGAAATTTACGTACACTTAACATGGCTGGGGGAGAACTGTTGATGAATATGGCCGATTATGTGGCAATATTCATCAAGATCCTCTGTCATGTAACATACAATTTTCACATACATACAAGCACGGAAAAAAATCGTGCTTGAAAATTAAATCGGCTCACGAAAGTGGCGTATTGTTCCGTTTCCTGTTTTGGGTCCTCTGGCTGTGGCTGTTAGGGTAGGAGAGGAAACATTCAATTAACGCCTTTCATGACGTTTTGAAAACTTAGGAGAATTTTTTGCCCTCCTAACCTACCGGAGGACCCTTAACTTGCTGTTTTGTTAAAAAAAAATGAAAAATTTATTATCAATTATTTTTCATTTTCAAATTACGACCTTTTTTTTTAACCGTAGCGCATACGAGTGAGAAGCGACGAAATTTGTAAGAGGACGGGTTGTATATTGTGTGGTGCCGCGTTGGGTCCTCTTGTTCTATGTGTCGAGCAGCTACCAGTCGTATTGTACCACTACTCTACAACCATCACCACTCTACAGCCATCACCACTCTACAGCCATCACCACTCTACAGCCATCACTACTCTACAACCATCACCACTCTACAACCATCACCACTCTACAACCATCACCACTCTACAACCATCACTACTCTACAACCATCACCACTCTACAACCATCACCACTCTACAACCATCACCACTCTACAACCATCACCACTCTACAACCATCACCACTCTACAACCATCACCACTCTACAACCATCACCACTCTACAACCATCACTACTCTACAACCATCACTACTCTACAACCATCACCACTCTACAACCATCACCACTCTACAACCATCACTGCTCTACAACCATCACCACTCTACAACCATCACCACTCTACAACCATCACTGCTCTACAACCATCACCACTCTACAACCATCACCACTCTACAACCATCACCACCATTTCAAATGCCTCACCCTGGCACCTAATACCATGGCTCTCAACCTAACACCCTACACCACGGCCCTCACCCTGACACCCTAGATCAAGGCTCTCACCCTAGACCACGGCACTCACCCTGACACCCTAGACCACGCCCTCACCCTAACACCCTAGACCACGGCCCTCACCCTAATACTCTAGACCACAGCCCTCACCCTAACACCCTAGACCACGGCCCTCACCCTAACACCCTAGACCAAGGCCCTCACCCTAACACCCTAGCCCACGGCCCTCACCCTGACACCCTAGACCAAGACCCTCACCTTAACACCCTAGATCAAGGCTCTCACCCTAACACCGTAGACCAAGGCTCTCACCTTAACACCCTACACCAAGGCCCTCACCCTAACACCCTAGACCACGGCCCTCACCCTAACACCCTACACCAAGGCCCTCACCCTAACACCCTAGACCACGGCCATCACCCTAACACCCTAGACCACGGCCCTCACCCTAACACCCTAGACCACGGCCCTCACCCTAACATCCTAGACCACGGCTCTCACCCTAACATCCTAGACCACGGCCCTCACCCTAACACCCTAGACCACGGCTTTCACCCTAACACTCTAGACCAAGGCCTTCACCCTAACACCCCAGACCAAGGCTCTCACCCTAACACCGTACCCCAAGGCCCTCACCCTAACACCCTAGACCACGGCCCTCACTCTGACACCCTAGACCACAGCCAACACATCTGCCTCGGTTGCAACGGCAATTTTTTTGTTCAGGAAAGTTTGGAATTATAATCTCCTATTATGCCAGTATTATTAAGTTCTTAGGAGGTGGATATGCAAATGACCACCGCGAAACTAATTGCATTATGCAATTTGGCGGTGCGTATTAAGATGAA